CAGTGTTGACCCCACCCTTAGCCCAGTGCCTTGACCCACTTACTTCCCAGCTCCACCCTTCACCAGGATAACCCTTCACATCTGCCAAGTCCCTTTTGAAGGGACCACACTTATCGATTAGTTAATTGACCGACTTCAGGTTTGGGTACCCCCATGCAATATATGGTTCCACTAGCCTCAGCATGTTAACTGAAGCTTTGTTGAGTTTAACAAAGGTGCCATTGAAGATCTGGCAAAGGCAAAGGAGCTATAACACCTTACAAACCTTTGTGCTCACACTCTTGATACCTCTGATCCTGATGACAAATGCCAGCTTGGGTTCTGTGGGTACATAGAAGTTACCAGCTTTCCTTGCCATCTGAGCCATCTGAATCTCAGTTCTGTACATCTGCCTATATTCTTTGGGGAAGTGCTTAGCCTTTTCATAGATAAACTTCCTTCTTGCCTTTGGCAAACTTCTTTCTCAGGTGCTTGACCCTTAATTCTGTGAAATTCTTTCACTTTTTCTAAAGGGTTTCTGGCACTGCAGGAACCTTCTTTTTCTTTTCCATGGCAGCCTCCGTGATTCCAGGCAGAAAATTTAAAAACAGGTGATTATATATTAATTTAATTACACTAATTCTGCTTCATGGACTGCTAGGAAAACAAACAGATTCATCCTGGAAAGGGTCAAACCGGGCTGCTCCTTGGAGGCAAGGATTCTGAGGCTCCGTCTAACATACTTTGGACATGTTGCAAGGAGGGACAGGTCCTTGGAGAGGGACATCATGCTTGGGAGGGTGGAGGGACAGCGCAGGAGGGGAAGGCCCTCTATGAGGTGGATTGATTCAGTGACTGGGGTAATCGGGATGGGTGTGTCAGAGACAGTGCAATTGGCACAAGACAGAGCAGAGTTTAGGGCTGTTGTACTTAGGGTTGCTATGAGTCGCAAGCGACTTGACAGCACATAACAACAACAATTCTGCTTCAGGGAGCTTTGGTGGCCTAGTGGTAAGAAGCTGCACTGCAATTCCGAAGGTGGTTTAAATCCAAGAGATGTTCTGCGGGAGAAGGATGAGCAATCTCTTTCCTGTGCAATTAACTGGCTCTGAAAACCTACTCTATGGGTCATTTCTACCTTGATGGTGGTACACAACACAACAAAAACAATTCTGCTTCAGTCTGGGTGGCTTAGTTGAAAGAAAATACACTCACTGCAGTCTCAAAGGAATGCAGTTTGAAACCAGCCCTTGCTCTGCTTGAGAAGGATGAAAAATCTCGCGTCCCATGCGTGCTATTCACTGCCTCAGAAACCAACTGGAATAGTGAGACATGGGTTGGTTCTGACTCGAGGGTGCACAGCAACAATCCTGCTTCAATCTGGTGGCTTCATGTGAAAGGAGTTGTGTTGTCAACCCAAAGCAAGCTACTCCTTGGGAGAAATACAAACATTCTCCTCCAGTACAGCCTGCAGCCTCTAAAAACCCCACTGAGGGGTCAACTATGAGTCAGTTCTAACTCAGTGGCACAACAACAGCAATCCAGCTTCATCATCATAGAGATTAGGTTATCAATGTCACACATGGAATCTTTACATTATGATGAATATTATGGCCAAGCTAACTCTTAGTACTCACCATCACACATACCGCCATAATTTCCTTATAGCTAATTGACTGGTCACATTGTGGAACATGGTTACATCACTGCCAACCACTACTGATAACCATACCCCAACCAAGTTGATGAGTATTGGGGGGAGGGGAAGGATGGCCCATGATTCAATCCATGGCATTACCCTTTATTATTATCAGGTACCAATGAGTTAACTCCTATGTTCATAGGAACTCTATGTCCAACAGATCTAAGCCCTGCTCAATCCTATACTATCCTGACAGTCTTTGATCTGTCTAAGTTCATCACTGCAGTTACTGTGTCAATCCATTCTTTTTAGGGTCTTCCTCTCCTTCCCTGACCATTGACCTTTCCACACATGACATGACTTTTCACAGGACTGGCTCCTCCTGACAACATGGTCTTGTGTAACTCAATATTGCAAAGGTTTACATGTCTATTTATACTGTAAGTTGTCTAGATTCAGGTCTTCTCCATTTTTACTTAATCTTTGTGTGTATGTTGTGAAAACCTCATTGCTGAAACTTCTTTCCCAGATAAATGGACGTGGCTACTTCTTTGGTCATAGATGAGGCAGAACAGAGCAAGGAAACACTGCATGGTTCAAAATCAGGAAAAGTGTATGCCAGGGATGCATGCTATTGTCACATCTTTTCAGTCTATATGCAGAACAGATCATCAGGGAGGCTGGTCTTTATGAGAGGAATGTGACATCAGGATTGAAAGAAGATTAATCAACAACCTGCATTGTGCAGATAATACACCTTGCTTGTTGAAACTGAGGACCTGAAGCGCTTGCTGCAGAAGGTCAAGTACTGCAGCCTTCAATATGGATGGAAAATTAACATAAAGAAAACAAAGATTCTCACCATCGGGCCAATTGACATCATCATGATAGACAGTGAAGAGATTATTAACTGCTTCAGCTTGCTTGACTCCACAATCAACACTCTTGGTACCAGCAGCCAGGAAATCAAGTTGAAATTGAGTTGTGGTGCTTGAGAAGAGTGTTGAATATACTGTGGACTGCTAGGAAAACATACAGGTTCATCATGGAGAGGGTGAAATCAGGCTGCTCCTTGGAGGCAAGGATTTTGAAGCTCCATCTGACATAATTTGGGCATGTTGCAAGGAGGTACCAGTGCTTGGAGAAGGACATCATGCTTGGGAGGGCAGAGGAAGAGAGGACAGAGCAGGGGAGAGTAAGACTCTAGATGAGATGGATTGACTCAGTGACTGAGGTTATGAGGGCCAGTGTGTCAGAGACAATGAGACTGGCTCAAGATAGGGCAGGGTTCACAGGGTCGCTGTGAGTCACAAGAGACCTGACAGCATATAACAACAACAACATATGACTTTACTTCTGGGTTCTTTTATGTCTGTCTTGATTTTATTACATTGATCTATATATGTCTATCCTATGCCAGTACCACAACCATCTCCATCAGAGAAACTGTGGTAAGTCTGAATTTTTTTAATGTTTCCCGATTTCCCTTTTTTTGGATAATCACTATGCTAATTCCCCCCCCCCCCCCAGCTATCACTGCTTTCTAGTGACAAGACAGAAGTGAATGAGCATTGAGCATTTAAGCACTGAACCACTGAGGCTCTGGATAGCCAGGAAAGCCTCACATTTCCTTCTCTTTGACAACTTACTGACTTTTTATTTAGTCTTGTATGATTTTAAACAATGCTGTGATATCCATTTGTAAGTGTCATTTTGCACATGTGAGTTTCTGTAGAATGAATTCCTATAAGTGGAATTGTTGGCTTTTAGGGTCTCAACATTTGCATTTTATAGTTATTACAGAGGAGGAGCCCGGGGTGGCATAGTCTGGAGGAAGTCACACTGCTAACCCAAGGGCCTAATCTCTTTGATGGTTCAAATCCACCAGAGGCTCCTCAAGAGAAAGACTGGCAGTCTCCTCCTTTGCGATTTACAGCCTGGGACAATCCAGAATCAGTTGGTTCAGACTCAAGACACTGAGAGCAAGGTATTAAACAGTAGCCCTCAGAGCCATCAATTCAGTAGAGCCAAAGAGAGCTAATTGGAGTTGGTCACTTTTCATTGCTGTGGAGTCGGAACCCACTCATAGCTGACCAGAGACTGGGTTTTCAGAGGCCTTAAGTAGCATGGGAGAGCAGAGTCTGGCTTGCAGGAGAGGGTCATGAGCTTCTGAATCCGTGGGAGTCTGGACTGCCCTAGAATCCCCAGCTCCAGGCGCAGAGCAGTTGGTGGATTCGAACCTCATCCTTTGGGTTGGTAGTGCAACTTCTTAACGCAATATAACCCTGTTACACTAATGCATATGCCCTCTAGCACAGCAAGTTTGGGTGGATTCCCGCACAGCCTCGCATTCACTGTGTGTTCGAATCTTGATGTTACCACTCTGATAATCTTTGATCAAGGAAACCTGGTGCTCCAGGCAGTCTTAATTTGAATTCCTATTACAAAGTTTAATATCTGGTAGGTCTAAAATCCTTTCCCTCTTTTTTTTTTTTTTTTTTAAACAACTTTTAAAACAGCTTCCGGCCTTCCAGTGCACTCTTCCCTGCGCGGTCCGCTCAGGATCCTCGGACGCGGGACCCAAGGTCTGTCTTCCAGTGCGCCACGCGATGCCCGGTGCGTCCCTGCGAATGCCGGGTGCTGGCGTTCTCCCACGACGCACCCCCTTCCCTTGGCGGAGCCCCGTCTAGAGCCCGCCTCCCGCCGGCCTGGGCGGAGCGGGTGGGCGGGACCGCGCCGCCCCATTTATTCCAGTTCGGAGGAGCCGGAGTCAGCGCCTGCCCACCGGATCCCGAGCCGCGCGCCCCTCTTGCTGCAGCATGCTGGGCCCCAGCCTGTTGGTCGCTCTCTGCGGCGCGCTCATCTGCGTCCCGGGCCTCTCCGCCGAGGAGGCCGCCTCCGGTGAGTGCATCGCTGCCCACTTGCCCGCCTGCGCCCCTGCACTCCATGCCGCTGGGAAGTTCGCCCTCCGCTTCCCAAATCAAAACCCGTAGCCGTGGATGTCTCGATAGGGCAGAGGCTAAACTGCCCTCAGTGCTTCTAAGGCTGTGATCTTTACAGAAGCGGACTGCCTAGTTCGAACCGCTGACCTTTCTCCCGTAACTGCCTAGCATTGGCCACTGTGCCACCAGCGGTCCTCCACCTTCTGTGTTTACACACTTCTGTGAAGTGCTGGGGGCTGCGCGGGCGGTACTGGAAGTATGAGCTTGGGCGGGGAAGCGGGACTCGGGGTGACAGCCTGCCGTCCCGTGCACGCAACAAAGGAATCCTCTGTGTCGGGCCTCTCTTTTCCTATCTGTAAAGTGAGGCCATTATTCTGTGTCTTGACTCTAGAAGCTTCTTCCCTCTGAGATTTCAGGAATCTCCAAGTCTTCTCCAGGCAACTCACCCGTCACGTCCCTTCCTGCCCCTTCGCAGCTGCAGGGCTTACACTCTGTTTTGTTTTGCAAGCCCAATTGTAGGTGTCTGGTCAGATAAAGGAGGGCTAGGGCGTCGGTGGAATGGGGTGGAGTGGTGAGGCCCCGGACCTGCTAAGAGCTTGGAGGCCCTGGAGAAAGGACCCTGTGTGCGGGGGAGTCCCACTCCCTCCCTCGGCCTTGGCCAGAGCTTTATCTCCTCTGCTGTCCTCCCTTCCTTCATCCCTCCCTTCCTGCCCAGCCTCCTGCAGGTGCCTGACTTGGAGGGAGGGCCTCCTGCTGCCCCATCCCTTCACTGAGATCCTCGTCCTGCTGGGCTGAGAAAGGGGTAAGGGCAAGAATTCTTCAGCATCCATTGCATCGTCTTTTCATAGACTGAAGTTGAGGGGGCCTCAGAGCTGGGTACTAGGACTGCCTCCTGTGACCAGGGTGACCCCTGGCGCCTGGAGCTGGGGATTCTAGGGCAGTCCAGACTCCCACGGATTCAGAAGCTCCTGACCCTCTCCTGCAAGCCAGACTCAGCCCTCAGACTCTCCTTCCACTCCCCTGCTCAGGTTCCCCAACCTAACCTAGGTGCAGCAAAATGCCCTTGGGGACTTCTTTCCAAAGAGCTCCACCCTGCAATGTTGGTGGAGGACAAGTTGCCTTTGCCGGTTCAGGGGAAATCATCTATCTCCACTGGTGGCCTTACCCTTGGCCAGGTAGGGGATACCTTTCACTTTCCCTTTGTTCTGCTTTGCCTGGGATGGGGAGGACAAGAAGTTGGACTATGTCGGTACAGGACTCTGTGGCCATTCCCAAGCCTCAGTCAGGCGGTGTCCCGCCTCCCAGGTCAGGGGAGGGATTTAACCTGCTATTTAAAGCCAGTGACTAATGGCTCATTGGGAGGGGCCTTAAGCTCCTGAGGCCTGGACTGAGGTGCCTCTCTGAGGCTCTGGAGCCTCATTAAAGGTGTTCCCTTCCCCAGAGCCATGGCCTGAGCTCTTTGGGGCTTCAGGATTTCAGGGGTGCGATTTACAGGCGCCAAAAACTTGCTGGAAGGTCAGCTCTGAGGTTGGTTACAACTCAAAAACAACAAACTGCAACTTGGAAGGAGCCCTAGCGCCGTGGTGACTAAGGAGTTTGACTGCTAGTGAAGGCTTGGCGATTGCCCACTAGCCCACTAGTTGTGTCACCGCTGACTGAGGCAGTAGGCTTGACCATAGGGACCTCACATTTGAGGAGTGAAACCCTGTGTGCCCCTGCACTAGCCTCCCAACCTCTGCTGGAAGGATTTCACCCTCTCTTCTGTCCGGGTGCTGAGCCAGACTGGCAGTGGGTCTCAGAATAGGGTGACTCTGGGGGTAAGGAGAAAAAAAAAAGTGATTCATGCTTTGCCCCAAATGACTGAGGGCACGAGACCTACGACAGCTTTTCCAACAGTGCTAACATCAGCTAGTGGAACCTTCTGGGCCTGGCCTAGCCAGTGGCCTCCAGTTCACTGTTTGGGGCCAGAGTTAAGGTTCTGGGAAACAGGCTAGGACCAAGTGAGCTTCAATCTCAGTCATTATGGGACCTTTTACAAACCCTAAAATGGTTAAATTGAAAGTTTACAGAGCGCATTTGTTTTCCATTCAACATTTTATACACGTGTCATTTCATAACTTTAAAAATTCTTCCCACTTGCTCCCTGGATTCCCTTCATCTCATCTCCACTTAGCCTTTTTTCCTGCCTGTTCTTCTGAGTTTTGTGTTGGAGCAAATATTGGCCTTTTGGTTTTAGAGTTCAGTGTTTCTCACAGCACTCTGGGCTGTGCCTTTTGCTTCACGCCCCCAACTCCAGGTGTCCAGGCCTCTGACTCCTGGGCCGTTCCTATAGTGGGCCCTGATCCTCAGCGCCCTCTCCTGTCATCTGCCAGCATGACCGTGGATACATCCAGGACTCCTGAGAGGGTGGGAGCTTCCCTTGTTTGCATTGATTCACCTGGACTTGACCATTCTTTGCTCGAACTCCCTTTAGGAGATTGGAGTGGAGGGAAGGAGAGGTGGACAGTGGGCTAAGTTTGCTAGGTGGGTCCTTGTGGACCGAGCACATGCACTATCTCTCCATTTCTGTGCCCAGCACCTGCCTGACCACCTTTTTTCTGCCTCATTAGATCTCTTGTGTCCCAAATCCCTGACACCAAAGTGCTGAATGCTTAGTCCCCCCACCAGGAATGTCTTTGCCAGGTACTTCTGCAAGTGTCCCCGGGGCTTCACAAGTGTCCACTGTGAGGCCAAGTGATACAGGGAGGTCTGCTTTTGAGGTGGACCCTAAACCCTTGCCCTGACTTCCTCTCTTACTAATGCCTGTGCCAGTTTCTCTGATGTTTACAGAACTCCCTTCTCACCCCCTCAGATCATATGTCCCCAGCAGTCACAGGCAATCATCCCCAGCCCAGGGGAGCCACAACATTGTTACAGACAGACTTTCCCCCCAATTTCTCCTTTCCAACTTTGGAAGGGGCTTCTTGGCTACTCTCACATCACATTTGAAATCTCTGAGTTTTTTTCCCCTCGGTGGACAGTGGGAGTGAGGATATAGGAAGGTTAGGAACTGCTGGCCTATAGGATGAGAAGTCTAAATTTGTTGTTCTTAATGTCCCTCCTCATCCATCTCCAGCCTTTACCTTTATAGTTGTATCTGTCCGTCCGACACAGCAAGGTCTCTCATGCCCCTTCTAATCTTCTAAATGCTCTCTCCTCAGTCCCGAGCCTGCCCCACCTCACTGGGATTTTGGCTCCCACCTCAGCTGTCCCCTCCTCAGCCAGAACTCCCATCTCCTGGCAGCGGTCACGCCCTGCACAGCTCCACGTACAGGCATCTCCTGCCCCTCTTCACGATGTGCTCACCTGCCCACTTCCCTTGAGGCCTGGACTACAGAGACCCCTTTCTGCCTCAGGGCCCAGCTTGTCCATAGTAACTGACCCCCCACGTGTTTACTGAGTGGACCACTTGCTTTTCCTGAGTGATGGCTGCCATTGCAGGAGATTCCTATGACCCCAACCCATGTCTAAATGGAGAGACCTGTGTGATGGGCCAGGACAGTGCCTCCTTCTGCTGCCTCTGTGCCGAAGGCCACAGGCTTCACATGAGATGTGGCTGTGTCTTCTGTTCCACCCCTCACCAGCTCCAAGTGTCGGCGGCCTCTGACTGCTGGCTCTACTTACCATGGGCCGTGGTCCCCAGCACCCTCTCCTGTTTACATCTAATATGATGCTGGAAAATTCCATGGTTCTTGAGAGGGTAGGGGCTTCCCATGCTTGGGCTGATTCACTTGCACGTGGTCAGTGTGTGCTCCCATCCTGTTAGGAAGGTAAGTGTGGATGGAAAGAGTGGTTGATAGTGGACTGAGTTCACATGGAGGGTATCTTTAAGACTGGGCACAGCTTCTGTCTTCATCTCTGTCCCAGCACCTGCCTGACTACCTCTGTCCTCTTTACCTGCCTTGCTACATCCCTGTGTCCCTAATACCTGCCACCAAAACATTGAATGTGTAGTAGTCCCACCATGAGAGGACATCTTCACCAAGTAGTTTTGCAAGTGCCTTCCCCACCCACCCCCCACCAGGTATCAGAGGTGTTAGCTGTGAGGCCAATGAATACAGGGGTGTCTACTTGTAGGTCAGAGCCTCAGCTTGAACCTCAGCCTTGAAGAGAACCATAAAAAAAGAGTATGATTTAGTTGACAGTTTACAGAGCATATTAGTTTTCCCTTGTGGCCTAGTGGTAAGAAACTGTGCTGCAATTCTAAGGGTATACTGATCAAAACCACCAGCTGCTCCACAGAAGTATGGGCAGTGTCTGGGTGATTAACTGATTTTGAAAACTCACTGGACAATCAACTATGGGTCAGTCCTGACTTGACAGCACATAGCAATGACCAGCAACAGCAAAAACAACATTCAATTTATACCCATTTCGTTTGGTTATGCTAGTTACAATTCCCGCAATGTAAGAGCACTCTTTCCCTTTCTTCCTTGATTCTCCCATCTCCACTCGTCCTTCTTTCCTGCCTCTGCCTATCTTCTGCTCCTTGTTTTGGAGCAAATCCTGCCCTTTGTTCTCATGGTCAACTGCTGTGAGTAGTATATCTCTCAGGCGTGATGCTGTGGTTCACCTTATAGGCCTGTCTGTAGTTTGCAGGTTTTATCTCAGCGTGGGTTCAGCTTCTGGTTTGAGGAGGATAGAAGGACCACAGTGTTGGTGGAAGGGGCTCATTTTTCAGTCTGGGGTTGAGGACTTCACATCTGACCTCCTCATGCCCCGGCTTCTCCTGTGTTCTTCACTGAGGCTCATAGGGCTCATCTGTCACTCAGACCGCAGCCTGAAGCCTCTGTGCCATCCAGACCTCATTTCCTGCCTCAGTCTTTGCTGCGTGCATCTCAAAGTCCAGCCTTCTCCCCATCCCTTTCCTTGACTTCCTCTTTCACCAGATTCTTGTGACAGCTTCCATGTTAATTCCTAGGCCTCCCACCTCATGCCCTCTGATCAGATTCCCACCCAGCAGCCAGAGGGATATTGATGCATCCGCAAGATGCTTCCCAAGCCCAGGGGAGTCAGAGCATCATCCTGCAGAGGGGCTTTATCTGTTTTCTCTTAATACCCCTCCTAGTCTGTCTCCAGCCCACCTTGACAGTGTGTCTTCCTATTCCTCAGTACACACTGTCTCCTGTATAATGTTCTCATTCCCCACCCTGCCCCACCTGGCTTGGATTTTGGCTCCCACCTAAGACGTCCGCTCCTCTGTGGGAACTTCCATCTCCCTGGCAGAAGTCACACCCTGGGCACCTCCGCGTGCAGGCTGCCTCTGCACCTCTTCATGATGTGCTTACCTGCCAATCCCTTTTGAAGTCTGCAGGATAGATACCCGGAGGGTCCCAGTGTGTCCTCAGTCACTGAACCCACGTGTTTATTGAATAAATGACTTGCTGTCCTGAGTGAAGGCTGCCCTTGCAGGGAATACCTGTGACTCCTACTCATGCCTGAATGGAGGGACCTGCATGGTGGGCCAGGCGAGTGCTGATTTCTACTGCCTCTGTCCTGAGGGCTTCATGGGCACCATATGCAATGTGACTGATGAAGGTACCTGCCCAGGGTTATGCCTTCTTCTCCAATCCCCAGCTCCGAGTGCCCCTGGCCTCTGACTGCTGGCTGTCCCTCCCTATAGTGGGGCTGTGGTCCTCAGCCCCCTTTTATGTGGTTGGCTAACATGACTCTAGAAACATCTAGGATGCCTGGGGTGGTGGAGGGGGGACTTCCCTTGTTTAGACTGATTCACCTGCCCATGTTCAATCTTTGCTCCCATCCCATTAGGGAGATTGGAGTGTAGGGGGAGAGGTGGACAGTGGACTGAGTTTGGTTAGATGGTAGTTCAGAACTGATCGCATCTGCTGTCCCCATCTCTGTCCCAGTGCCTGCCTAACCACCTGTTCTCTTTACCTGCCTCACTAGGTCCCTGTGTCCCAAATCCCTGCCAGCACAATGCTGAATGCGTGGTCACCCCACCACTAGGGGACACCTTTGCCACGTTCTTCTGCAAGTGCCCTCCCGGCTTCACAGGCGTCTACTGTGAGGCCAGTGAATACAGGGGGGTTCTGCTTATGGAGTGGACTCTTGAGTTTCAAGCCCAGCCTTTCCAGGGATCCTATTAAAAAAAAATTATGATTTAGCAGAAAGTTTACAGAACACATTGGTTTTTCATTCAGCAGTTCATACACTGTGGTTTGGTTTTTTTTTTTTTTAAATTTTATTGTTATTTTATGTGTGTACCGTCAAATCAGATCCGACTGGTACAGGAAGAGATTGCCCCTCATTCTCCAGCAAAGCATCTGGTGGATTCAAACTGTGTACCTCTGAGATTGTAGTACAGCTTCTTGCCACTAGGCCACCAGGGCTCCCTTATACTGTGGTTTTATAATGTTTGTTGTAGTTCCATCAATGTGACAGCACTCACTCTCCCCAATCCCTCTCTGATTCTCCCGTCTCCTGCCCCTTCCTGGCTTCTGAGCTTTGTTTTGGGTCTTACAGAGAATTGCTCTGAGTAGCATGTTCCTCACAAGACTTGCTATCGTGTATCTTATAGACCTGTATCTGATGGGCCCATCTGTAGTTTGACTGACAGGGACTCCCAGGGATGGGTTCCACTCTGGGTATGAAGGGTGCGGAAGGGCCACAGTCTTGGTTGAAGAGACTGATCCTGAGTGAGAGGAAGGGACTCCCTTGTTCACCTCTGTTTCTTCACTGGGGTTCATCCATCACCCAGACCCCAGTCTGAAGCTTTGTCCTCCAGCCCACCTCTTCCTGCTTCTGCCTTTCCCACAGGAGACTGTCATTTCCAGCCTTCTGTCACATCCCTTTGCCCTGATTCCCAAATCCTGTGACAGCTTCCTTGCTATTTGTTGGGCCTCCTGCTTCACCCTTTCTGAATGGATTCCCATCCAGCAGCCTGAGCGATCTCAGTGCAGCCGCGAGACCCTTCCCCAGCCCAGGGGATCCGCACATCCCTGCTCACAGGCTCTTAGCTGCTTTTCCCTTCCTACTCTCACTTCCCACTTAGTCTCAGTGATTTTTCCCCCCTGTTTTTCTCAGTAGATAGTGGTGGTACCACTGGTGTACAGGATAACAAATCTCAGTTTATCAATTGTTCCCCCTAAATCTGTCATCTGCGTGCCTTTACTGTTAGGTCTTCTGATTTACCAACACACCATGGTCTCCCATAAAATGCTCTCTCCTCGTTCCCCAGCCTGCTCCACCTCACTGGGATTTTTGCCCCACCTCTGCTGTCCCTTCCTTGGCCAGAACTCCTGTCTCCCTGGCAGCGACCACACCCTACACAGCTCCACGTACAGGCTGCTCCTGGCCCCTCTTCACAATGTGCTCACCTGCCCGCTTCCCTTGAGGCCTGGACTATAAAGACCCCTTTCTGCCTCAGGGCCTAGCTTGTGCGAAGTAACTGACCCCCACGTGTTTATTGAATGGACCACTTGCTCTCCTGAGTGAAGGCTGCCCTTGCAGGTAACTTCTGTGACCCCAGCTTGTGCCTGAATGGAGGGACCTGCATGGTGGGCCAGTTCAGTGTCCCCTTCTACTGCCTCTGTCCTGAGGGCTTCACGGGTGCCATATGCAATGTGACTGATGAAGGTACCTGCCCTGGGCTGCGCCTTCTGGTCCACATTCCCAGCTTCAAGTGTCCCCGGCCTCTGACTGCTGGGCTGTCCCTATAGTCGGCCATGGTCCTCAGTCCCCTCTCGTGTGGTCAGCTAGCATTATGCTGGGAATATGCAGGCTGCCTGAGAGGGTGGGGGCTTTCCTCATTAGGACTGATTCACCTGTACTTGCTCATCCTTTGCTTGCACCCTGTTAGGGACCTGAGTGTGGAGATTAGAGTAGAGGGAGAGGTGGACAGTGGACTGAGTTTGGTTAGAGGGTAGTTCAGAACTGATCGCATCTGCTGTCCCGATCTCTGTCCCAGCACCTGCCTGACCACCTGTTCTCTTTACGTGCCTCACTAGGTCTCTGTGTCCCAAATCCCTGCCAGCACAATGCTAAATGCATGGTCATCCCTCCACGAGGGGACACCTTTGCCAAGTACCTCTGTGAGTGCCCTCAGGGCTTCACAGGCATCAACTGTGAGGCCAGTGAGTACAGGGCAGGGGGGTCCTGTTTGTGGGGTGCACCCTGAGCTTCAAGCCCATCCCTTAAGGGGACCCCTTTAAAAAAGAAATAAGATTTAATTGAAAGATTATGGAGCCTATTAGTTCAAAATTCATTCAAAAATTTAGACATGTTTGGTTTCCTAATGTGAGTTGCAGTTCCCTCTCCCCACTCCTCCCTGGTCTTCCCAGCTCCACTTGTCCTTTCCCGCCCTCCACTGGCTGCTGAATTTTGTTTTGGAGCCAGTGCCGCCTTTTGGTCTCACGGTGAATGGCTCTGAGTAGTCTGCCCCTCAAGAGTGTTGCTCTTGTGTTGCTCCATTGACAGGCCTGTACTCTGTATACAGGTGACCCCAGGGGTGGTTTGAAGATTGTCTACAGGCCAACATCTTGGTGGAGGGGATACATTTATGATGTAGATGAGCTTGAGGACTCCCTTGACCATCCTACGTAGTCATTCACATCAGACTCCTCGTCCCCCTGCTTGTCCTGTGCTCTTGACGGAGATATACAGCTCACTGGGCACATCTGTCCCCCAGACCCTGGCCTTGAAGCCTCTGTATCCCCCCGCCCTTTTCTTCCTGCTTCAGTCTTTGCCCCACCAGATGCCTGTGACAGCTTCCTTGATGTTTCCTGGGTCTCCATCTTCACACTTTCTGATCAGCTTCCCATCCAGCAGCCAGAGGGGTCTCGGTGAAGCTACGAGACGCTTGCCCTGCCCAGGGGTGCTGCAGAGTGACTGCCCATTTCCCCTTTCTGGTGGTGGAAGTGGTGTCTTTGCTATTCTCACCTCACACTGGAGTGTCTCCCTGATTGTTTGTCTCTAGTTTCCTCTGGGGACAGTGGGTTTGAGCCTTAACGAAGGTTGGGAACCACAGGCTTGAAGGATGGGAAGTTTCCATTTGTCATTCTTAATGCTTCCCCTAATCTGTCACCTTCCTACCATTACTGCTGTGTCTCTCCCCAACACACCATGGTCTCCTGTAAAATGCTCTCTCCTCGTTCTCCAGCCTGCCCCATCTCACTCGGATTTTGGCTCCCACCTCAACTGTCCCCTCCTCGGCCAGAACTCCCGTCTCCCTTGGAGCAGTCACACCGTGGGCAGCTACACGTTCAGGAAACTCCTGCCCCTCTTCATGATGTGCTCACCTACCCGCTTCTCTTGAGGCCTAGACTATAGAGACCCCTTTCTGCCTCAGGGCCTAGCTTGTGCATAGTAACTGACCCCCACATGTTCATTGACTGGACCACTTGCTGTCCCTGAGTGAAAGCTGCCCCTGCAGGGGACTACTGTGACCCCAACCAGTGCCTGAATGGAGGGGCCTGCGTGATGGGCCAGTTCAGTGTCCCCTTCTACTGCCTCTGTCCTGAAGGCTTCACGGGCACCACATGCAATGTGTCTCTTCAAGGTACCTTCTCTGGGTTGTGCCTTCTCCTCTTACCCCCACCTCCAAGTGTCCCTATTGTGGGCTGTGGTCCCCAGCGCCCTTGCCTGTTGTCATCCAGCAGGACCCTGGAAACATCCAGGATGTATGAGGGGGTGGGGGCTTCTGTTGTTTGGAGTGAATCATCTGCAGGTGATCGTCCTTTGCTGGCACCCAGTTGGGGAGATTGGAGGGCAGGGAGAGGTGGACAGTAAACTGAGTTCACTTGGAGATTCTTTCAGGACAGGACACATCTCCTGTCCACATCTCTTGTCCCTAGCACGTGCCTGACCACCTGTTCTCTTTACCTGCCTTACTAGGTCCTTGTGTCCCAAATCCCTGCCAGCACAACGCTGAATGCATGGCCGTCCCACCACAAGGGGACGCCTTCGCCAATTACCTCTGCCAGTGCCCCCTGGGCTTCACAGGCTTCCACTGTGAGGCCAGTGAGTATGGGGGTGGTGGTCTGCTCATGGGGTGGACTCTGATCTTCTAAGCTCAATCTTTAAGGAACCCATCTTCAAAATTATTACTGTAGAGTTGAAAGTTTGTATAACACATTGATTTTCCATTCAGCAGCTTATACACATTTCATTTTATAATGTTAGTTTTAATAATGTTAGTTATAATTCCCTTAATCCAGCAACCCTCTACCCACTTCCCCCATGATCTTCCCAACTCCACTAGCCACTCTTTCCTGCTAGTTCCTGTTTTCGGAGCTTGGTTCCCTAGCAAATACTGCCCCTGTGGTCTCCGAGTGTATCCCTCTGAGTCGTATGCCCCTCGAGAGTGTTCCTGTTGTTCATCTTATAGGCCTGGCTAACAGATGACCGCTGGAGTGTGTTCAGCTCTAGGATTAAAGGGTGTCTAAGGGCCACAGTCTTGGTGGAAGGGACATAGTTTTGAGTTGTGAGGATAAGGACTCCCTTGAGCATCCAATGTCATCATTCACATCTGACCTCCAGAATGCCCATGGTTTTCCTGTGTTCTTCCAGGGCTCTAGGGCGCATCTGTCCCCCAGGTCCCAGCCTGGAGCCTCTGTATCCTCCAGCCCCCCTTTTACAGCTCTAGAGTTTGTTGTACACATGTGTCAAATCCAGCCTCCCTACCCTTCCCCTTTCCTGACTTCCACCATCACCAGAGACCTGTTAGAGCTTCGTCAATATTTCCTCTTCTTCCCACCTCACTCACTCTCCTCAGATTTCCACCCAGCATCTGGAGGGTTCTTGTGCAGCTTGGAGATGCTTCCCCAGCCCAGGGGAGCCACAGCATCAATGCATAGGGGCTTCTATCCATTTTCTCCTTTCCAGTGTTAGAAATGGCTTCTTGACTACTCTAACCTCTCTCTTGAGAATCTCACTGATTGTTTTTCCCTCTTTTCTTGGTGGACAGTGATGGTGAGGCTGCAGGAGGCTTAGGAGCCGCCAGTCTGCACGATGAGAATCTATTTTTGTCATTCTAAATGCCCCCCTCCTAGTCTGTCTACAGCCTTACCCATACAGCATGTCTCCCTGTTCTCCAACACAGATGATCTCCTGTCCTCCTTCTAGTCTCCAGCCTGCCCCACCTCACTGGGATTTTTGCCCCACCTCTGCTGTCCCTTCCTCGGCTGGAACTCCCATCTCCCTGGCCAGAGTCACACCCTGCACAGCTCCATGTACAGGCTGCTCCTGGCCCCTCTTCATGATGTGCTCACCTGCCTGCTTCCCTTGAGGCCTGGACTATAGAGACCCCTTTCTGCCTCAGGGCCCAGTTTGTGCATAGTAACTGACCCCCACGTGTTTACTGAATGGACCACTTGCTCTACTGAGTGAAGGCTGCCATTGTAGGAATCTACTGTGACCCCAGGCATTGCTGGGATGGAGGGACCTGCATGGTGGGCCAGGACAGTGCCTCCTATTGCCTCTGTCCTGAAGGCTTCACGGGCACCATGTGCAATGTGACTGAGGAAGGTACCTGCCCAGGGCTGTGCCTTCTGCTCCTTGCCACCAGCTCCAAGTGTCCTGGGCTCAGCGCCCTCTCCCGTTTACAACTACCATGCCCCTGAAAATAGCCAGGATGCATGAGAGGGTGTGATTGGGCTGTGTCACCTGCAGGTGGTCATCCTTTATTGCACCCACTTAGGGAGATTGGAGTGGAGGGAGAGGTGGACCAAGGACTGAATTCATTTGGAAGATCCTTCTGCTGGATCTGCTGTCCCCATTTCTGTGCCAGTGCCTGCCTAACCACCTGTTCTCTTTGCCTGCCTCACTAGGTCCCTGTGTCCCAAATCCCTGCCAGCACAATGCTGAGTGCGTGGTCGTCTCACCACGAGGGGACACCTTTGCTAAGTACTTCTGCAGGTGCCCTCCCGGCTTCACAGGCTTCCACTGTGAGGCCAGTGAGTACTGGGGGGGTCTGCTTATGGAGGGGGGATGCTGAGCTTCAAGGTCAATGTTTAAGGAACATATTTTCAAAAATATGACTGTATAGTCCATAGAGCACATTTATTTTCCTTTCAGCAATGTATGCACATTCCCCTTTACAATGTTACAGTTCCTTTAATGGCCCTGCACTCTTCCACCTCCTTCCTGATCCTTCTACCTCCACTCGTCCTTTCCTGCCTCTTCCTGTCTTCTGACCTTTGTTCTGTAACAAATGAGGGAAGCCCTGTCAATTTCACAGCTCACTGTTCTGAGCACTGTGCCCCTTGGGAGGGTTGCTGTTGTTCATCTTATGCGTCTGCCCATGTTTGGCTGACAGGTGATCCCCAGAGGAGGGTTCAGCTCTGGGTTTCAAGGGTGTCTAAGAGCCACCATCTTGGTAGAGGGGATGCATTTTGGGTGTGAGCTTGGCACTCTACCAACCTATATTCACATCTGATCCCTCGTACCCCTGTTTCTCCTGTGTTCTTCCCCAAGAGGTATACCCCACAGAACACATCTGTTCCCCAGACCCTAGCCTGAAACCTCTGTTCTCCAGCCTCCCGCTTCAGTCCTCACAGGCCTCTCAAATCCAGCATCTTTCTCACATTCTCTTCTGACTCCATTACCAGTTGCTTGTCACAGTTTTCTTGGTGTTTCCTGGGCCTCCCACCTCAGCTCCTCTGATTAGATCTCCACTCAGCAGCCAGAGAGGTCTTGGTGCTGCCCAGGGGAGCCAACGCCTCATTGCAGATAAACTTTTCCCTTCTTTTACGGCCCCTTCTAGTCTGTCTCCAGCCTGTCTTAAACCTGTGCCCCAAACACACCATGGTCTCCTGTAAAATGTTCTTCCCTCTTTCTCCAGCTTCCTCCACCTCACATGGATTTCGGCCCCCATCTCAGAAGGCCCCTCCTCTGCCAGAACTCTCGTCTTCCAGTGAGAAATCATTCCCTCAGCAGCTCCAAGTGCAGCCTGATTCTGCACCTCTTCGTACTGTGCTCACCAGACCGCCTCCTCTCGTGACCTTGATTATAGGTACCCTTTCCATCTCAGGGCCCAGCTTGTCCATAGCAAGTGACCCCCATATGTTTATTGAATGGACGACTTGCTGTCCCTGAGTAAAGGCTGCCGTTGCAGAAAACATCTGTGACTCCAACCCATGTCTAAATGAAGGGACCTGCGTGGTGGGCAAGGACGGTGCCTTCTTCTACTGCCTCTGTCCTAAAGGCTTCATGGGCGCCGTATGCAATATCACTGATGAAGGTACCTGCCCTGGGCTGTGCCTTCAGCTCCACCCTTTTCCCCCAGCTCCAAGTGTCTGGGCCTCTGACTGCTGGCTGTCCACAGTGGGCTGTGGTCCTCAGCACCCACGCCTGTTGTTGGACAGCATGACCCTAGAAACACCCAGGATGCCTGAGAGAGTGGGTGTTTCCCTCATTTCAGCTGGTTCACCTGCTCCTGATTATTTTTTCCTCACACCTCATTAGGGAGATTGGCGTGGAGGGAGAGGGAGATGGACAGGGGACTGAGTTCAAGAGGCGCACCTTTCATGACTGGGCACATCTGCTCTTCTGATATGTGTCCTCGGCACCTGCTTGACCACCTGTTCTCTTTACCTGCTTCGCTAGATCCCTGTCTCTCAAATCCTTGTCTACAAAATGCTGAATGTGTGGTACTCCTACCAGAAGGGAACTCCTCCTCCAAGTACTATTGCAAGTGCCCTCGGGGCTTTAGAGGTGTTCACTGTGAGACCAGTGAGTACAAGGGGGTCTGCTCGTGGGGTGGACCCTGACCTTCAAGCCCAATGTTTAAGGAACACATTTAAAAGATAATTACAATGAGGTTGCACATTTACAGAGCATGTTAGGTTACAGTTCAGCAATTTAGACACATTTCGTTTTGTAATGTCAGTTATAATTCCCTTAATGCATCCACACTCTTCCCACTTCCTCGCTGATTCTCCCATTTTTACTCATCTTTCTTTCCTGTCTCTTCCTGTTTTCTGAACATTGTTTGGAGCAAATACTTCAGTTTTAGCCTCAAGGTCAATTTCTGAGTAATAATGTCTCTCAGGAGGGTTGTTATTATTTATCTTAGGCCTGTACTTAGGCTAACAGGGGATTCCCATCTTTGAGATCATTAGCTATTAAATTTTCATTGCTCTCAAGTTAGACTTCACCATCCACTGATGTTTGAGGCTGTAAACTGCATGTAGGGAGATTGCCTTTCTTTGTCCCATGGAATTGCTGGTGGACCCAATCTGCTGGAAGGGCCTGGCTTTGGGTATGGCTTCCTGTGGACCATGCCTCCTTCATTATCTATTCTGAAATTCTCATTGCCGTTGAGTTAAAATTGACTCATAACTTACCTTCTAGTGAGTTTTCAGAGGTTGTGAGTCGTATGGGAGGAGATTGCCTGTTTTTCTCCAGTGGAGCAGCTGGTGAATTTGAATCTACCATTCAAATGGAGTGGGTTCAGCTCTGTGTTTGAAGGGTCTTTAAGGACCACAGTCTCAGTCAAAGGGGACCCAGTTTTGAATGTGGAGTTGGGGGCTTCCTTGACCATCCTACGTAGTCATTCACATCTGACCCGCTCAAGCCCCTGCTGCTTTTGTGTTTTTCCAAGACTGATAGGTCACATCTGTCCCCCAGACCCTAGCTTGAAACCCCCGGGGGCCTCCCTTTCTCCTCTTGCCTTAGCCCCCTGAGACTCAGATCCAGGCTTCCTCCTCACCCCCGCCTGTCCACCCCTTGCCCTGACTCCCTCTCCCTGTGACAGCTTCTTTGATGTTTCCTGGGCCTCCCACCTCAAATCCCCATCCAGCAGCCAGAGAGATCTTAATTCAGATACAAGACACTTCCTCAGCCTAGTGGAGCCACAGCATCCCTGCAGATGAGCTTTTTTTTATCCTTTCCCCCCCCTTACCACTGCATGGTTCAAAATTGGGAAGGGTGTACGCCAGGGATGTGTCCTATCTCCATACCTTTTCAACCTGTACGCAGAGCAGATTCTCCGGGAGGCTGGGCTCTATGAGGAGAAGCATGGCGTTAGGGTTGGTGGACGATCTATCAACAATCTGCGTTATGCAGATGACACAACCCTGCTTGCTGAAACTGAGGAGGGCCTCATGCACTTACTGCAGAGGGTCAAGGACTGCAGCCCTCAATATGAACTGAGGCTCAATGTCAAGAAGACAAAAATTCTCACCACTGGACCAATCGGTAGCATCAGGATGGATGGCGAAGAGATTGAGATTGTTCATAGCTTCAGTTTGCTTGGCTCCACAGTCAACACTCTTGGCACTAGTAGCCAGGAAATCAAAAAACGTACTGCGATGGGAAAGTTTGCTGTTAGGGACCTCTCTAAAGTACTCAAGAGCAACAGTGTCTCTTTGGAGACGAAGGTGCGCCTGATACAGGCTATGGTTTTTGCAATCACTTGTTATGCATCAGAGAGTTGGACAATGACTAGGGAGGATAGAAGGAGAATTGATGCCTTTGAGCTGTGGTGCTGGAGAAGAGTATTGAATGCACCATGGACTGCCAAGAAAACAAACAGATCCATCCTAGAGAGGGTTAAACCAGGCTACTCCTTGGAGGCAAGGATTCTGGGGCTTCGTCTGACATACTTTGGACATGTTGTAAGGAGAGATCTTTAGAGAGGGACATCATTCTGGGTAGATTAGAGGGACAGCGCAGGAGGGGAAGACCCTCTATGAGGTGGATTGATTCAGTGACTGGGGTAATCGGGATGGGTGTGTCAGAGGCAATGAGATTGGCACAGGACAGAGCACGGTTTAGGGCTGTTGTACATAGGGTCGCTATGAGTCGCGATCGACTCGATGGCACATAACAACAACAAAAACCATTTGTAGCATTGAAAGTGGCTTCTTTGCTATTCTCATCTCATACTGGAGAATCTCATGGAATTCCCCCACTCCCTGCTGTTTTACTTGATGGACAGTGATTATGAGGCAGCTCGAAGCTTAGGAATCCCCGGTTTGCAGGATGTGAGGTCTAAATTTGTTGTCAATAATGCCCTCTTATCTTCATCCAACCTCTACAGCGTGTCTCCTGTTCTCCAACACAGATTGTTTCTCATGCTCCTGCTAGACCTCCACATGTTCTCTCCTCGGTCCCCAGCCTACCCCGCCTCACCTGAGTTCTGGCTCCCACCTCAGCTGTCCCCTGCTTGGCCAGAACTCCCATTTCCTGGCAGCGGTCATGCCCTGCACAGCTCCACGTACAGGCATCTCCTGCCCCTCTTCACGATGTGCTCACCTGCTCGCTTCCCTTGAGGCCTGGACTATAGAGACCCCTTTCTGCCTCAGGGCCTAGCTTGTGCATAGTAACTGACCTCCACATGTTTATTGAATGGACGACTTGCTGTCCCTAAGTGAAGGCTGCCCTTGCAGGGGACTACTGTGACCCCAACCAGTGCCTGAATGGAGGGACCTGCATGATGGGCCCGGACAGTGTCTCCTTCTACTGCCTCTGTCCTGAAGGCTTCGTAGGCACCACATGCAATGCGACTCTTAAAGGTACCTGCCCTGGGCTGTTCCTACTTCTCCACACCCCAGCTTTCAAGCTGCTCAGGCCTCTGGCTGCTGGCTGTCCCTATCGTGGGCCTCGGCCCTCAGCATCCTCTCCTGTTTGTGGCCAGCATGACCCTGGAAACATCATGGATGCCTGAGAGGGTGGGGAGCTTCCCTTGTTTGGACGGGTTCACCTGGACGTGATCTTCCTTTGCTCCCACCTTGTTTAGGAAAGTTATGGTGGAGAGGTGACCGAGTTCACTTGGTGGGCCCTTTAGGACCGGTGCATCTGCTGTCCTGATGTCTGTCCCCAGCACTTGCCTGACCCCTTAACCTGCCTCCCTAGGTCCCTGTATGCCAAATCCGTGCCACCATAATGCTGAATGCATCGTAGTCCCACAACGAGGGGACGTCTTCACTGAGTTCTTCTGCAAGTGTCCACGAGGCTTCGCAGGCATCCACTGTGAGGCCAGTGAGTACGGGGGTCCTGCTTGGTGCGGGGTGGGGGGTGTGGGTGGACTCTGAGGTGTAGGCCTGGTGCCTCAGGCTATGACTGGCCTTACTTCCTGGATAGAGGCCTCCTCTGGGGAGGCCGAGGCAGAGCCTCCCTGAGGCCCTGAGGAGTGGCGAGGGGTAGGGGTGGGGGTGTCAGGATCCTGTTGACCCTCCCCAGGCTTTCCTCTTCTCCCTCTTTCCTGGAATTTTGAAGTAGCCCCGAAGTGCCTCCAGATCATGGTAACTGACCCTAGAGGTCATGGGAGCAAGCCTGAGGTTTACTACCAGGAGGGGAAGATAAACACATTGCGATCGGTGAAGGTCTGGAAGGGCAGTAAATCAGGCTTGGGTCTTTGAATTGTGCACTCCTGGCCCAGATCTGACCTCCGACCTTCCGGGACTTGGGAAGGGCCTTGGGGACGGCTGTGTGCTCACAGGTGGCCTGTCAGAGGCCCAGTGAGTAAAGGAGTTGACTCTGCCTGCTTGCATTACCACTCAGCCATGTAATGGCTTGACTCGGTGCCCAGTGACAAGACCGGTTATCCGTCAGCAGTGGCTCTCCATGCTAGCCTCTCTGGGTCCCTTTCATTCTCTGGCTCCTCCAGACAGGGTTGTGCCTACTGTGAGCTGGGCCAGTCTCTCGCTGGGTACAGGGACGGGTGGAATGGGGAGGTGGGATTCCAAGTTCCCAGAGTCCAGCAGGGCCGACTTTAGCATCTCAGGCAGTGGACCAGGCAGCTGTATGAGGAGGGACCCTATGGTTTGCTGAGATCCAAGGGGAAGAGAGAAGACTAGGCTACCTGGTAGGAAGTGGGACCCTTGGGCAGAGAAGGTACGGAGCAGGGAGGCCCTTTCCCTCAGAAGAGCTGCCACCGAAGGCCCATTCCTTGGTCTCTCAGCTGAGGCTGTTTGAGATCTTGGGTGAAGGATGTGTGTGGGAGCAGTGCGAGTCCTGCCGTGACAGGCCAGGACCAGGGTGGGGCCAGGGGTTGGTCTAATTACTGTGCTGGAAGCCAGGTAACTGTGGATACGACGGAGCTGGAATTATCCACCAAGCCTTCTTCAGGCTCCTTGGCTCCAGGTCTGTCCAGACTGGGTTTGGTGGCACCTGCTCAGAAAGGCAGGGAACAGCCACACAGGTAGGGGATCCCCCAAAAGGACCTTTGATTGTTGCTTGGAGTGCTTCCTGGAACCCACAAGGACACACACACATACAAATACATGTTTGGACCCTTCTGTGGACCCAGGAAAGAAGTCTGCAAATGTAGTGTATTACGTGTTGTTTTGCTAACCAAAAGGTTAGTGGTCTGAATCCACCTCTGAGGGAAGGAACTGGGCAGCCACCTCCTGTAAAGACGTACAGCCTTGGAAGCCCAGGCAGGGGCGTCAGGAGTTGGAATCCGCTGTCAGACCCCGGGGTGTGTGATTACTCTCTGCTCAGCCCTGTGTGCTCTGATGCCGACTTGACCTCGGAGCCTGGGCTGAGGGATGGGTGCTCTGTCTGGAAGGGAGTTTCTGGGGGCTGAGCCTGCAGCTCCCCCCCCCCCGTGGGAGAGGTGAGGGTGACAGTCAGAGACAAAGGTAGGTGATGGGGCAGGAGGTATAGGGATGTCAGAGGGGTGTTCATGCCACATCTTAAAACCCCTGCCAGGGGGATTCTAGCAGAGTTTGGGCAGATTTTTCTTGTTGGTTTGTGTGCCATGCATATACTGCCCTGCCCACTGTCCCTTCTGAAACCCCTCTTCCTGGGAAGCCAGGGGCCGGGTGTAGTAGGGAAGGGCAAGAAGGGAGCTCCCATGGGCATTTTCTTTTCCGTCCTGTACCTCCCACGCCATAATAATGCTGCCCTGAATGAGGGAGACTGTGCTGACCGGTCATGTGATCCTGGGGAATTTTTGCTTGACCTCTGCCACTTTCTCACCCTCACATCCCCACCCAAGGCTGGCTGTGCCCCTCTCACTGGGCACGCCCCCCTTTTGTGCCTAAATCCCTTTAGTCCCTGCTCTGAATGGAGGCTCTGAGGTTCTCTCTGGCTCTGGATACAGGGAGAGGTCACACCACCTTCCTTTCTTGCCTTCTGGGTCCCCACTAGCCCCGGCCCCTCCTGGGGGCCGCCTGATGACCATCTCCCTCTTCCAGACTGCCTCACACCACTGGGCATGGAAGGGGGCGCCATTGCCAACTCTCAGATCTCGGCCTCCTCTGTCCACATGGGCTTCATGGGTATGCAGCGCTGGGCCCCCGAGTTGGCCCGCCTGCACCAAAGCGGCATCGTCAACGCCTGGGCAGCCAGCAACTACGACAAGCACCCCTGGATCCAGGTGTGGACAACTGACCTCCAACTCTTCAAGGGTTGGCTCTGGGCTGGGCAGTGGCGGGCATGGCCACAGCAGGGGAGAAGGTGGGATGAATAGTTCTGTATTTGAGCCACCAGGAAAGGAGGAATAACTGGGGCCAGGTAGCAAAGTAGCAGGTGCCCACAGGTGAGGGAGAAGGCTGTGCATGTCCATAATGACAGCCACTTTGGTGGCCCAGATGCACGGAGAGCAGACTCTAGGCTGTGGTGGGGCTGCGCTTAGGGGACTACTTTGACCCTCTTTGTGTGCCTCCGTGAGCACGGTGCCCTATGCTCTTCGTCAATCAATATGTCACTTGTTAGGTCCTGCCCCTCTCCAGGCATATACACAGCCACCTTGCTGTTTTCCTACTTGCCTTGGAGTGATGGTTGGGTTTCTGGATCCTGGACAAAAACCTGGGAAATGAAGGCCCCAGTCTTTCTGCTACCTGCCCAGGTTAACCTGCTTCGGAGGATGTGGGTGACAGGAGTGGTGACACAAGGTGCCAGCCGTGTGGCCAGTGCTGAATACGTGAAGCGCTTCAAGGTTGCTCACAGCCTTGATGGGCACACATTCCAGTTCATCCAGGATCCAGAGAGCCTTGGAGATAAGGTGAGTCTTGTTGGGCCCCTACAGAAGGGCATCCTTGGGCTATCTTGAGGGCCCCAGTGAAGGGAGGGTGCCCTGAGGTCCCCTCAACTGTGTCTTGGTTCCTGGAAACCGAGATTGTACCCGTATGCTCTGGTTTCAAGTAACAGCTCTGCTTTTTAGATAAAAATAAGGAGACTCAAAAAGTGACATGGTTCATCAAGGGTGGTAGTAGAGTTGAGATGTAGTCTGAGCCCCCAGGACCACCATGTACAGTTGTGTAGGGTGTATACTAGTCAAGGATTTCATTATCAACTGGGCACTATTCAAAGGCAGACCTCATGTGTTTACAAATTTAAATCTGTCAGAAAATTGTCATCATACTGGATGTTGAATGAAGTACCTTTTTCTGATATACATAGAGGCATTCTGTAGGTAGCTCTGTGTAAAAGATAGGATCCCATGATGACCGAAGAGGGTAAATGAATGGGAATCTATGTTTAGGGGCATGGGGAGGTCAAAGGAAGGGTAAAGGATCCCCAAGTTCAAAGAGGAAGATGAGATGACTCCAGAAAGCAGGACCGCCCTCAATAACTGATTCTTATGAAATGCCCTTCCCTTTCAGCTGTTTGAGGGCAACAAGGATAAAAACAGCATAAAGATGAACCTGTTTGACCTCCCCGTGGAGACGCAGTATCTGAGACTGGTCCCTGTGACCTGCCACCAGCGCTGTACCCTCCGCTTTGAGCTGCTTGGCTGTGAGCTGTCTGGTGAGTGTCCATTTCTAGGAGATGACCCTTCTCTCCTCTTTGGCTTCTCAGCCAGGTAGAACTGTGTGGACAGTGACCAGGCCCAGAACCTCGGGCTAAGCCACAGGCTGGAGACGCACACTCCAGGGCTCACCTGACCATTGGCACTCAGCCGTTGTGCTAGGCATTGTATTTCTTAGAGGAACAAAACCATGATGGATTATGCCCTAGATTATTAACAGCTTCCTTTCCCAAGGCCCTCCTTTCCTTTCAATTTATGCACAAGTTGAAACAGTAAGCTACCATTCGTATCTAAATGACTAGCCAAATGGCTTACCTTAATATGTGGTGTAACTTTCTAGGCATAAAAAATATTAAAGAGACACATCTATATGCAGCACAACATCTTTCACATACAGTATTGATAATGTTTTCATGCCCGTCACAAAGTAGTGCCTGTTTGTTGCAATAAAGCTGTTGTTTGTGCCTCAGATTTTCTTGGAGGCTTTACCAGACTTGGTTTGTAATCTGAGTTGTATGGAACTGTTAATAACCCAGGGCCTGCCTGCCCCTCAGTGGGATGGCCTGCAGTTTCCAAAGTATTTTCCACCTATTTTAGGTCATTCTTTGTGCACCTAGAGGATGTAGCATGAGTTCTGTTCAGCACACATCAGCTCTGTGAAGGGAAGGAGCCTGGCTTATAGGAATTTGCTGCATTTCCTGTGTGTCCTGTTCCTAGATCAGTGTCTGTGTGCACTCTTGTTGCGGTCACTTGATATCAGGGCAAGTTTTGGAGGTGCCTCTGGGCGAGCTCGAACCACTAGTCGTTGGAGTGCTTAACCATTTGTATTATCCAGTACTCCTTTAATACCTATATAAAAAACCCAAAAATCTAAAAATCTATGGCTATCTTGTCACCTCTGCCTACTGGAGAGGGCAGGACTGCCCCATGGGCTTTCGAAGGCTGCGTTCTGCGTGGGAGCAGACTGCCTCATCCTTCTCTTGTTGGAAGAGCTCACAGGTTCAAGGCCACTGCTCCACCAGGGGTCCTTTAACATCTAGTCCCATTGTCAAGGAGTCCATTCCAATTGACAGCAACCTTTAGGACAGTACTGCTGCCCCTTAGGGTTTCCATGCTGTATATTTTTACAGAAGCCAACAACCACAGCTTTCTCAGTTGGACAGAGTGGCTGGGAGCTGCCAACTGACATGTGAAGGAGGCCTCTAGGACAAATAGGGTTGGAATTGATGCTTGCTGTTGCTTATTCCAGGGAGATCCTCCAGTGGAGCGATGAGAAAGGCAGAAACAGATTTCTATTGAGTCAAGATCTCCACCTTGGAAAAGCCTGAAGCTAAGGCGCCCGGGGAGGCCTTAGCTCACCCGAATGGCATGCTGCTTGAAGGCTGTGCAGCTCCTTTTTGTTGTCGTTGTTGTTGTCACAGTGCCATCTGCTGGCCACAGGTGGAACCTCGGGGCTCACTGGCCACAACTGGGGTGCTGAGGTTTTGCTTGTCTTATCTGAGACCTGCCCTCCAGGGCACTCTTGACTCTGTTTTCCCATTTCAAAGAACACCAGGACTGCTCAGAGCAGAGTGCTTTGCCTAGCTGGGCTTTGTCTGTGTATGTGTGTGTGAGAGATGTTAAATCAGTGTTTTTATATGTTTGTTTTCAGTGCCTTTTGAGTGGTAAGAAACTGCAATGCAATCTAAGGGATGTCATTCAAATTCCCCGGATGCCTTGTGAGAGAAGCCTGGACATTCTCCCCCCATGCAATTTACTGCCTCAGAAAGCCCGCTGGAGAGTCAGTTAGGGGTCGGTTCTGACTCGATGGTACACAACAACAATGAAAAGATGTTTCGTGATCTGTTGGTTAAACATTCAACTGCTAACAGAGTGGTTGGCAGTTTTAACTCACCAGCCACTCTGTGAGAGAAAAGTGTGGCAGTCTTCCTCTGGGAAGATTCGAACCCAAGCCAGCTCGGGTTTCCGAGGCGGTAAATCACATGAGAAGAGATTACCCGTCTTACTCGTGCACAGCCATTGGTGGATTTGAGCCACCAAAGAGTCTAGGCCTTTGTGTTAGGAGCTGTGGACACCCAGTGAGCAGTTCTGCTCTGTCCTGTAGCGTCACTGTGAGTTGAAATTCCCTCGACAATTATGCGTAGTAGAGATCCATGAGAAGCATATCCAGTTGGCTCTCAGATCCTACCATAAAGGGTGAGGGTTTAAATTCACTCAGGAAAAAGGCCTGGCTGAGCTGTGGTGTTAGAGATTACTGAATATCCCAGGGATTGTCAAAAGGATAAACAGATCTTAGAAAAAGTGCGGCTAGAGTGCTCCCCGGAGGCAAAGATGATGAAGCTTTGTCTCATATACTTTGAACATTTTGCTAGGAGAGACTGACTGGCTATTCCTTGGAAAGAGATATCATGCTTGGAAAGGTGAAAAATAAAGGGGAGAAAAGGAAAAGTGAAGGAGAGGGAGGCCCTCAACGAGCTGGATTGACAAGGTGACATCAGCAATGGGCTCACATATGTCAGAGATGACGAGGATGACACAGGATAGGACAGGATTCGGATCTCAGAGTCACGTTGAGTTGTACTTGACTCAATGACACCTCATGACAGCTGCATCCATAAAACATTCTAGCCAAGACAGCCTGGTGGAATTGTTCTACTCTAGCACCTGGAGTGGTGATCAGTCAGAACTGGCTTGGTGACACCCTAGATGACAGGTTTGATAAAGGACAGAGCCAAGTTTGTGGGCGCCCACCCCGGCTTTCACTGGCCGGCACAGTGGTTGGCTGGTCTGGAGGTTGCTCTCTGACTGTTGCGTCCCTGACTGTTTGGAAGCTGGCACCCTCTTAAGGCCAAGAGTGGGCAAACTTCAGAAAAAGGAGGAAAATGGAGCCAAACGCCCTGACTACTTCCCTCTGGGGACCCAGCTGCCTCCTTTCCCGAGAAGGCTGACAGCTGATTGGAGAAAGAGATTAAGAGAGAGAGATAGAGACAGAGAGAGAGAGAGACAGAGAGAGTGAGTGTAACTGTGTGTGTGTGTTAGTTTTGTGAATCCACAAAGGCACTGGTGGCCCGCACCAGGATTCTTCTCCCCAGGCATGGTGTCCTTGGTGAATTGATGAGTTACTTAGTTTAGTGGGTATATATTAAGATACTTGATAAGCTCCTACTGTGTTTCCAGCTTTAGGGAGCAGCAGTGGAGACATCCTTGACCTCCTTGGTAGTCTAGTGAGGGAGAATGAATTGAAATGTGAATTCATTAAGGGGACTCTGAGATAGTTGTTAGGAGCTCAGAGAGCTCTGGTGGCCTCGTCTGTAGGGAGTTGCACTGCTGATCTGAAGGTGGTGCCTCTCTGGCTATTTGAATGAACTAGCTGTTCCTCAGTAGAAAGACAGGCAATCTCTTCCCATGCAGTTAACAGCTTCAGGAATCCCCAGCCCCCGAGGGTCCATCATGAGTCCATTCCAATTTGACAGCTATGTATTGGGGTTTCTTTTTGTTATGAGATATAAAGAGAAAAGTGGAGGAAGACTGGGAGTTGAGTCGCAGAAGTGCCTCAGGGACAACTCTGCTGGGATGGCCTTTGAGTGGAGGCTGATTGATGGGGAACCAGCCACGACAGAAGCTGGAAGGAATGTTCTGGCAGAGGAAGCAAAGAGTGCAAAGGCCAGGGGGTGTGTTGAAGGATAGAAATCAGGCCAGCGAGGCCGCAGCTTGGAGAGTGAGGGGAGCTTGATGGTGAAAAGGCAGGAAAGGTGGTTGGGGCCGGCCCAGGCAGTCTTGTGGATCATGTTAAGATTTCAGTCTTTATTCTGATGAAAGGGTGGCTGTGATTTCAGCACTTGCTGTTGCATGGGCATGCTAACAGGATGTGGTTTAGTGGTACGGAGCTGCACTGCCAGCCCTTAGGCACTCTGTTCAAACCCACTAGCTGCTCTGTGAGAGAAAGAGGGGCAGTCTCCTCCCACTGATTTAAAGCCTCTGAAAACCTGCTGGCGGGTCAGCCACTAGTCAGTTCCAAGTCGATGGCACCCCCCCCCCCCCATAGGATATGAGGGAGCTCTGCTGGTGTAGCCTGTAGGGAGTTAAGCTCATAAGTCAAAGGCCACACCTCTCTGGGAGTTCAAATCCTCCAGTAGCTTCATGGGAAAGAGAGACCATCTCTTTCCAGGTGATTTGCAGCCTTGGACACCTGTTGGAGGGTCATCAAGAGTCAGTTCTGATTCTGACTCGATGGCAGTGAGTAAGCGACTAAGACTTGATTAGGAACTCCACTGGTGGTCTGTTTTCGCTGCTAGCCACAAGGCTGAGGGTCTCCAACGGTTCTAATCCATGCGCTTCTCCACTGGAGAAAGGCGTTTCCTGCTCCCGTTAAGATATACAGCCTCGGACACCTGGTGAGAAATCGACTCAGTGGTAGTAATTTTGGACTAGGATTTGATTAGCTTTTTGTCTAGAAGAGTTCCTTGAAGTGGCGTCAGTACTGGAGCTGTGAGCTGAGGGGGACCCTGTGGGATGTTACCTAGGCAATTCCTCTCAGAGGTGAAGCTGGCTTGGATCAGAGTGAGTGGGTTCGTTTAACTGAGTGGACAGCAGTCCTATACTCAGCGTGAGATCCATGATAAGTACTTCCGGCATCACCCAGCCCTGTCCCAGACCTGCTGAGACAGAGTCATTGTTTTCACACCACCTCCGAGTGTGTGGTGTGTGGGTGTAGGGGAAGCAGTGCCATGGTACCTCCAAATTTTACAGCTGGAGAAACTGAGGCTTACTGAGGAGAAAGTCTCTTAGGAGCCAGCCTGGAGGTGAGAGTCCAGACCTTTGCCCCATTACCTCAGAGCTGTGCACCTGTCACCAAAAGATGCACCTTGGACACAGAGTGCAGGCTGTGGCAGCGGAAGGTTTCACGTAGGTGTATTGGTATATTGGAGACAGGGAGTCTGAGGTTCTCAAATCTGTCTCATGTCTTGAAGACCGTGGGCTTACACAGAGGGGCAACAGGGCAGCAGGTCTGGGGAATTTTTATCTTCTCTTGCCCAGGAGTTCTGGCCAGTGTTTGAGTCCCAGACTTATCAATCAGTGTGACCGAGATAGTCGGCGCCATCAGTGTGTCACGGGGGAGAGGTGACTGCTGGCCACAGCTGACAGGGACGGAGTGGAGAGGGCAGCAAGAAGGACCTTTGTTAAATAAAGAAACTGTCGCTGATTTCTCTTCTAGACCAAGAGAAAGCACTTAAAAAAAAAACATTTATAGAAAAAAATGTTAGTTTTCTATCTGAGCAGGGTGCTAAGAGAAGCCAGTCTCCTTAGGAGTTAGTTTCCCACTGTTATGAGTATTCATAGGTTAGATTTTTGTCTGTTGTCAGTTGCATTTCACGTGTCCAGCAATACCCGCTACCAGGGGAGCCAGGAATAAATGGGGAGCAAGTAGTCTCTAGAAGGGCCCCCCTGGAACAAGTGCTGCAGAATGGACACATAACTGACTGCATCCCCGACAAAGCTCTTTCAGGCTTTAGGCTGCTGTCGGCCTCCCCACCTCTGGAGCCCAGAAACAATTCACCTCTCAACCTTTGTGGGAGGAAGGTGCCAGCTACCAGGCCCTGTCAGCACCATGGAGGCAGATGCCTTTTTTTTTTGATGGCAAAGGTGCAAGCGGAAACAGAGAAATCAACAAGTTGAAATATCTTAAAATGAAACCCATGGCCTCAAGTCACTTATGACTCGTGTAGGACAGAGGCTCTAAGTCCTTCTGGCAGCCGACTGCCTTGTGTTTCTTTCAAGGAGTGACTGGTGGCTTCAAACCACTGATCTTTCAGTTAACTCGCTTTACCACCAGGACTCCTTACGCACCATCTAGTAATGTCTAATCCCAGGATCCACAACCCCCCACCCCCAGTTCCCCAGAGGGACGTGGAGCTGTGGAGTAGGGAGAGGCCAGATGTGAAGCCCGCCGTGCCCTCAGTCTCATGGAAGTGTACCCACCCATCCACGCTCCCACTTTCCAGATGCATATGTTAGTGAAGATGACAGACACAGTCCTGAGTGTCGGGTGGGCCCCGTGAAAGGAGAGTTAGACCCTCAGGAGTGCACATGGGGCGGCACACCCTAGGAAAATCGTGTGTGTGTGTGTGTGTGTGTCTGTATGGATGGCTGGGGTTGGACATATTCCCAAGTCCCAGCAGTTCTTTGGACTGGAGCATGTGTGTCGTGGCGATACCATGAGGTGGGGTGTGGTGTCCTGGGCTGAAGTTTGTGTAACGTGACCACAGTGCATAACGTGTTCTGTGAATGGGGTTAGGAACATCTACTTGGAAGTGTCCTCACGGCAAATGAAATGACCTGAGTAAGCACCGAAGCCACAGGGGTCGGGGTTTGCTGTGAACTAGTGTCCATGCCCTAGCAATGGGTTTGGTTTTAGGCCTCTGGGAGGCACGAGTGGTTTGTTCTTGGCTGGAGGTTTGAACCTGCCCAGTGTCTCTGTTGGAGAAAGGCCTGGTGATAGGCTTCAGGTTACAGCCTGAGAATATGGGACACAAGGGTCTGTTCTGTGACACAGGGGTTGCCAGGAACTAGAATCCCTCGATGATGGAGTTTGGCCTTGGCTTGTTTCTGCTGACACTCCCAGGCCACAGTATAGATACAGCTGCACCATAAGGGGTGGAGTGGGGTGCCTGCCGAGGAGGGAGAAGTCTGCTCAGGTGAGGGGCCAGGCAGTGGATTCCCCAAGCACATCTTGCAGGTCAGGCCTTGAAGGAGCTTGGGACCTGGTGGAGCAGGGAGAAGCTGGCCTGGTGCTGATGGCGAGAGTGGTGGGTGGGTGGTCTTAAATGACCTACGAGGGGCCACTCAGGGGTGTACGTGGGAGCTGAGGTGAGGGGAGGACAGAGGGAGGTGGTGGGACAGGCAGTGGGAATGGTTAGTTCAGAGAGGCAGAAGGAGCCTGTTGTCCCAGAGCTTGCCGGGGCCTAAAAGGACACACAGCTGCTTCCCTCTTGTGCCCCTTGCTCATGCTGTGGGGATCCTGTGGGTTCCAAGGTCCTGTTACAGCCTCCTTGCCGGTAGGATGCTCTGAACCGCTGGGCATGAAGGACAACACCATCCCTGACAAGCAGATCACGGCCTCCAGCTTCTACAACTCATGGGGGGTGAGCGCCTGGGGCTGGCTCCCCTCCTTCGCACGCCTGGACAGGCAGGGCATATTAAACGCTTGGACCGCCAAGACCAACAACCCCTCCGAGTGGCTGCAGGTGAGGCTGGGCTTCTGGGCTTCGGGGCTGGGGGTCTGTTGGGGCTGGGGTCCATTGAGGCTGGGGTCCCCTGGGACTGGAGTCCACTGGGTCTGGGGCCCCCTGGGACTGGGGTCCACTGGGGCTGGGGTCCGCTGGGGCTGGGGTCCCATGGGACTGGGCTCCACTGAGGCTGGGGTCCATTACGGCTGGGCTCCACTGGGGCTCCCCATCTTTGAACTCTGCCCAGTTGTGGCACCTGGTTCCTAAGAAGGTTTGGAGAAGCCTTGTTTTTCTCGGGCTTTCCTCTTTCTTCTTCCCACGTGCCCCACCTCTCACCTCCTTGCTCTGACCCTGTAACTCCAGATGGAGCCCAGTGCTCTTTCCAGTGGGGCTCCGAGGTCGAGGAAGACAGAAAGTGGGTGTGTCTGTGTGTGGTTTGGGCTACAGCCACCTCTTTAACTGCCCTAAGGTTGAGAAAGCTCAGCCCAAGGCCAGCAGGTGGTGGTGGAGGAGGGACCCTTGACCCAGGCATCCCGGCACCTCCGCCTAAGGAAGGAGCGAGTGTTTTGACACTGAGAACACACAAAGAGTGCTGAAAAACTTGTTTTATAAATGGGGAAACTGAGTCCTGGCAGTACGAGGCTCGGCCTGGGACTTATCTGTGGGTTGGGAGGGTTGCATTTGGAAGCCCGGTCTTGGGACTGCCCGTCCTTTGCCAGCAGGTAGGTTTCCCATGATGGTGAGGGATGGGCAGAGCTGAAGCTGGGGTGGGAGGTCTGAACCCAGGATTCGGGTTCCCTGAGCAGTTCCCTGTCCTTGGCCCCCTCGGCACTAACGTAAGGCTTTAGACAGTCCTCCTGGGAGCTACTAAGGCGCCTTGGCGGCATAGTACAAAACTAGCCATGGTGGGCTGTTATTGAAAAGGCCGTTGGTGTGAATCTACCTGCCACTGTGCATGAGAAATCCTGTGAAGATTTATGGAACCCGGGGAGGCTTGATGTGCACTGGCGTTGACTTGGTAGCAGTGGCTTTGACCTCTGGGGTGAGGAGTCTTCTCGAGAAGTCAGTTCCCCCATGATTCTGTTCCCTTCATATCCTTTGTTGCGGTGTGCTGTCAAGTCAGAACCGACCCAAGCTGACCCTCCAGCAAATTTTCAGAGGCAGTTAATCGCACGGAAGGGGATTGCCCATCCTTCTCCTGCAGAGCAGCTCGGGGATTCAAATCACGTGCCTTCAGGATTGCAGTGTAGGTTGTGACCACTCGTGCAGGTTTAAGGCAGCAGTGGGCCAGGGCTTGGCTAGGGCCCTGGCTCTGACATCTAAGCTTCATCTAGCATGAACTAGCCTCCGTGACTAGCAAATTTTTTATCAGGTTGTTAATAGAGTCAACTGAGACTCATAGGGACTGTATGAATACAGATCTGGACCTATCCTGCGCCATCCTCACAATCTGATATGCTTGGCTCTGTTAATCCAGTCGAGTCACTGTGTCAGTCCGTCAGTCCATCTTGTCGAGGATCTTCCTCTCTTTCTCTGACCCTCCGCCTTTCCCAGCTTGATGTCTTTTTCTACGGACTAACTGGTCCCTTCTGACAACATACTCCAAGTAAGTGAGATAACGTTTCACCATCTTTTCCTTTAAGGAGCACTCTGGTTGAATTTCCTCCAAGACAGGCCGGCTTGTTCTTTTGTCAGTTCATGAGATATTCAGTACTCTTCTTCAGCACCACAATTCAAAGGCATAAATTCTTCTGTTATCCTTATTCATTGTCCAGTTGTCAAAAACATAGGAAGCAATTAGAAAGACCATAGCTTGGATCAGGTGCACCTTAGTCTTTAAACTGGTGTCTTTGCTCTTTAGCACTTTGGAGAGGTCCTTGACAGAAAATTTTCCCAGGGCAAGCACAACTTTTGATTTCTTGACTGCCAGAAGCATGGATGCTGATTGTGGATCCAAGCAAAATGAAATTGTTGACGACTTTGTTCTTTTCTTCATCTGTCATAGTATCTATTTGCTGTATAGAAGTAATTTGTTGTTTCTGTGATGCTAAACACTGTGACACTGATGCATCAAATGCGAGAATGGTTACCTATGGTGGACAGTGTTTGGTGGAGCTCCCCGATTAAAATAACTTGGAAGCTGGAGTGGCATTCACTTCTGCAATAGCTTGCCTCTGGAAACTCTATGAACTTGGAAAAACGATGAAAGTTATACAGGTGTTTAGGTCTTTTGTTCATAAGGTTGCTATGAGTTGTCTACGATTCCACAGCACTTAACAACAACGACAACAACAACAACAACAACAACAACAACAACAACATCATGGTGCTACCTGTTGATGCAGTGATGAAGATGTTTCCCCCTAATGTTAAGATGTAACCCATATTGAAGGGTATAGTCTTTGATCTTCTGCAGCAAATGCTTCAAGTCCTTTTCACTTTTTGCAAGCAAGGTTGTGCCACTTGCATAACACAGAGTGATGAGTGTTCCTCCAACCCTGTTGCCACATTCTTCTTCACAAAGACCAACTTCTTGAATTCTTTGCTCAGCATATAGATTAATAGGTATGGTGAAAGGATTCAGCCTGGATGTAAACCTTTCCTAATTTTAAACCATGTAGTGTTCCCTTAACTCTTGGTACTAGCAGCCAAGAAATCAAAAGACAGATTGCATTGGGAAAGTCTGTTGTCAGGGACCTCTCTAGAGTACTGAAGAGCAATGATGTCATTCTGGAGACTAAGGTACACCTGATCCAGGCCATAGTTGTCACAGTTACTTGCTATGCATCAGAAAGCTGGATAATGACTAGGGATGATAGAGAATTGATGCCTTTGAGCTGTGGTACTGGAGAATAGTATTGAATATATGATTCATCCTAAAGAGGGTGAAACCAGGCTGCTCCTTGGAGGCAAGGATTCTGAAGCTTGCTTTGACATATTTTGGGCATGTTGCAAGGAGGGACCTGTCCTTGGAGAGGGATATCATGCTTGGAAAGGTAGAGGGACAGCGCAAGAGAGGAAGACCCTGGATGAGATGGATTGATTCAGTGACTGAGGTAATGGGAGTAATGGGATGTGTCAGAGATAATAAGGTTGGCACAGGACAGAGCAGGGTTCTGAGCTGTTGTACATATAATTGCAAGCAATTCAGTGGCCCATAACAGCAACAACAACAACAACGTTCCCTTTGGACAGTGGTGTTCTGGGATTCTCACTCTTTTCAATGGTGGTATTTCTTTATGCCCACTTTTCAAGGATGAGAAGCCCGAGGCTCAAGGCAAGTGAAGGAGCTGGGGTTTGAGCCCCGTTGAGATTTGAGCCTGACTCTTTCTCCCCTTGTGGAGATGGTCCAAAGAAAAGAAACTGGTTTCTTACAGGTCGACCTGGGTACCAAGAAGCGCCTGTCGGGCATCATCACCCAGGGGGCTCGTGACTTTGGCACCGTCCAGTACGTGGCAGCCTTCAAGGTGGCCTACAGCAACGACGGTAAGAACTGGACCGAGTACAGGGAACGCGGGAGTACCGAGAGCAAGGTGAGTGTCCCGCTGTGCTCCCCTTTCCTCACCCCGACACCCCAGGGCCTGACCTGGGGCCCCAGGTGAGGGGATCTAATTCATGGAGCCTCCTTCTGTTTCCAGATCTTCCATGGCAACTTTGACAACAACTCGCACAAGAAGAACATATTTGAGACACCCTTCGAGGCTCGCTACGTCCGCGTGTTGCCTGTTTCCTGGCATAACCACATCACCCTGCGTTTGGAGCTGCTGGGCTGCTAATGATGGCCCGCCGTGCTGTTCCGTGGATGTGGGGAGGGTCGTCCCCCTCTCCTCCCCTTCAGTGAGCCACTGTCCCTCTTCCGCCTTCTGATAGTAGCCACCGCAGGGGTTGGCAGGGGCTGCAGGTCCCCGGGGGAGGCAGGTTGACCTTGTGTGACCTGTTTTCTTAGACACAAAGCTGAGTGGGTCTGGGATAGGGGAGTATGGGGTTACCCATACATTTCCAAAGTCCTAGTCCACCCGACCCTGGTGGATCTTCCCTGGCTCCTTCCCCATGTCCAGAAGAAGGCCCCACTCACCATGCTAAAATAGCCTTTCTACTCACTAGAGACAAGGACCCCCTGTTCCGAGACACTCCCCCCTATCTTCCCAGAGCCCTCTCTCTCTCTCTCTCGACCCTTGTCCTGAAGTTCACAAAGAGACAGGAGGGTGGGGCTCTCTGTAGAGAGCTGCAAGCAGAGTTGATGGGGGGTAGGGGGACTGGTGGGCCCCTCTGTGCTGACTCTTCACCTAAGAACACAGGCAGCTTCCAAAATATATTTATATTATCCACTGGGTGTCCTCTGTGGTTTGGCTCATCATTACTTGTGCTAAGGGGTGCGGTATTTGGGCTCCTGGAGGACCCTCCACCCTCGGATCCACCTGAGCCTCAGGCTTGGGTCATGCTACCAAGAGCTAAACAGCAGGGGCCAGAGGAGACCATTTTGGGGTCCTCCTGGAAGGTCAGGAGTTGCTGGGTGGTGCAACCAATTACCCTCCCTAGACACACTTTGCTCTAGTGCAGAGGCTGGGAGTTCAGCTACACCCAAAGGGGCCTTGGAGGCCTTGGGAAAAAGGCGTGATCATCTAGTTGTGAAGAATCAACCACTGAAAAGGAGAGCAGACTTCTGTCTGACACACATTGCTGTGAGCAGGAGTCGGCTAGCCGCAAACGGTGCATTTTTATCGGAAGGACTGGATTTCCAGGTCCCGGAGGCCTGTTCGCCCCTCAGTGTGTCTTGTACCTGGGTCACGCTTGAGGCTGCTGCCCTGGTTGTTGGTGGTGAGGGGCCAAGAGTGTGCCTGGCACAGACGGGACCGCCTTCACCAGTGCCACATCATTTGCCTCCTTCCCATGCCATGAAATTCTATATTCTCCATCCCTGGAGCAGTGGGCTGGAGAAACTATTAGAAACCAGGAGGCTGGTCTGTCCCCAGGAGGCCCTGGGCAGGGTGGGGGACTGTGGCAGGAGGCACTATGTGATGGGAAGGAGGGGCTCACTCAAGGGAGCACAGTGGGGCCCTGGAGGACAGCACCATCCTCCCCGGGAAGTAGCCAATAGGTTGACAGAGTAGGACGGAGCCCTAGCAGGGCTGGTCAATAAAGAAGGGACTACCTGGGAAAGGGGCTTATGAAGCCACATTAGCATTCCAGGCTTGGGCTACTGGCTACATTTTCTGGACCAGACTTTGTGAGCCATGATGGATACACCTCCAGGCAGCAGGGGGTCTGGGTGTGCCTGCTGGAGTAAGGGCGCCAGGCAGGCTGGAACTTCTTCAGAGAGACCCGTCTGGAATCGGGCTGCTTCCTGAGGACTGCCGTTTGCCTGGGTTCTCAGGCACAGAACAAAAGGCTCAGGCCTTTGAAGTAGAAGCATAAGGGTCCCTGGCCCATGGGGTCCCTTGGCTTCTCAGTCTTGTCTGGTTCTCTCTGGAGCTGTGTGGACTGGGTTTGGCATTACTCGGGTGGCTGCTAGCTTCCAAACTCGCTAATGGAACATTCCCTATTCCTAACCCCAATTCTGTTCTCCTCTGGGGCTAGCAGACAGCAGGAGAAGTATCTCTTTCTCAGGTTCTGGGAGGGTTCTCCTAGAACTCTCCCAGTAACTAGTTTGGTCTTAACAGAGCCCCAGAGTTGTCTGAGCAGAAGGGGCAGCTGAGAGCCAGGCCGAGGCTTCATTCTTTCCAGGGACCTCCTCAGACTTGCTGCGCTGATTTTCTGTGGACTAATCTCATCAGACCAGTGACTGAAGGTGAACTGTGGTCACCAGGACCCCACCTGGCCAAGTTGAGCTACAATCACTAAAGCTGCCTCTCCCAGTTTGATCATCCTCTCACATTTTGGAACATTGGAAGTGTTGTTGACATACAGCTTTTGAGGAAGTTTCACTCCTGGGACCCTGTGGTGCTTTCTGGGGGCCCTTCACCACTTTCTCCTACAAACACTCATCACCTATCTTTCCTGGAGGACTGTTTTGCTGGGCGGGAGCCCTGGGGGAGCGGACAGTTGGAATCTACCAATCGCTCCAGGGGAGATAGATTTACAGCCTGTGACACTTGGCAGTGGCTCCTCATGGCTTGGAATTCACTTGGTGGCAGTGGTCTTCTCTCCCTGCACAATCACCTCTGCATTCAGGGCGTGGATGTATTCACTTTGTATTCTGACTGCGGCTCGGATGGTCCTGAGAGCCATATGCATTCTAATCAGCGAACTCTACCTGGACTGTGCCGTCATCACTGGGCCTGTCCACCCTGTCTTTCCGTTTTGGCTTAAATGTAGTGCAGTGATTAGGAGCTCAAACACTGACAACTTTCTTGGGCCTCAGCTCTTTCATCTATAAAATGGGAACAATAGACCCAACTCGATGGCATTGTGGGTACCAGAGGAGCTAACACGTGCACTGACAGAATCCTAGCCCAGGGGAAGTTGACCGAACCTAGCCATCCTTGTTAGAGAAGTTTGCAGCTTCCTGACTGGCCCTGGTGTCTTGTTTACTGTCCAGTTGGAACTGTAAGGTAAAAAGGGTGCAGAGAATCGGATAAAGTGGAACAAAGGCACTCTCGCAGCGGGTTTGCTGTTTGAGACCAGAGAGGGCAGGGTAAGGCAGCAAAGTGCAAATGAGGAAATTATAGGCCAAATTTTATAGGTAGGGCTTGGGGGAATAGAGTAGTCAGCTTGGTGTGGTCAGTTTTCCATGGAGGAGGATGTTGATTGGGTGCCCTTTGTTAGTTCCCAAAACTGAGTCATTCAGTCCCTTTAGGTGAATTAGGTCATTGCTGATGGTTCAGCAAGGTGTGGTTGGTGGTCGTGCTCTTTTCTGACTGGCCATAGCCATCTTACACCAGGCAGACTGGAATGTCTCCCAGAAGGTGTGATGAGCATGAAATATTGCCCAACTCCCAGATGGCCTTTCAGCAACCTCACTCATAGTTGACCCTCCAGCAAGTTTTCAGAGGCAGTAAATTGCATGGGAGGAGAGAACTCATTTTTCTTCCATGAGGCAGTTAGTGGATTTGAACCCTATGCTTTTGGGTTGATATTACCACGAAGCCACCAGAACACCCTGCTATCTGCCTCAAGACACCCTCACTCCCTCCTTTTCCTCCTCCTCTCTCTGCCATCTCTGTCTTGAAGTGTGTTTGTAAATAGATTCTGTGCTTACAGACCCCATAGCCCATCTCCCAGTCAAAACTGAAGGATCCCAGGTTTTTCTTGTGAAGAACAAACACTGTGTCAATGAGGGCAGGCCCCTTTGGTCTGAACAGGCAAGAAAACAACCATTCTGGAAGGGGGCCTGCACTTCCTGCAAGCGACTCATTCAAGGTACTTAACTGGTGACAGCATGGGATATGCTTGGTCCTGTTATTTGGCTGATGATTTTTACAGAAGAGGTGGCTTCTAGACCTTTCACTTGGCCTCCCCTGAAGGGGAAGTCATAACCACCTGCAGAAGGGATTCCACTTTAGCGCACAATTTCTGGTAAACCAGGGTGTTCTAATGCCCGCCCTCCCCTGCTCCTCCTTATTCCCACTTCATTACTCCCCTCAAGATGTGACAACTCAGGGTACTACTTTCACAGATCATTCAACAACAGCTCGGGTGGTCCCCAGCCTAGTCTGGGGCCTGCGTGTCTGCAGCGACTCCTCCCTGCAGGCCCAGCCCCTGGGAGGGAAAGGGGCGTGTGTTTCTTTAAGGGGCTGGCCGGGCGGCAGCGCGGGGTTTGTCCCGGGCATTCTGGATTTCCTTTCTGTCCATTCTGGATTTCCAAGTCCGCCTGTTACCTCGAACCCGTGCAACGAGAGGCCACGTTGCTCGAGCCGTCGAGCAGCCACCAGGGACGGTAGGTGGCTCCGGGCTAGTCAGATTCCTGGGATTCTCTGCAGCTCAGTTCGCTGCACCCCATTTTGACTCTTCTGCGGGATCCCCCACCTCCCAGACAAGAGTCAGGGGAAGGGGTGCAGTGAGCTTGGCAGTAAAGTGCCTGGAGGAGCTGGCCATGCTCACCGGCGTGGGTGCCCCAGCGTGGGGGGCGCAGACGGGTGGGGAGCCGCTTGCCTGCTGCAAGGAGGCACACCCCTCGAACCTGGGGGCCGCGCAGTCCAGCTCCAGTCCCTCTCCCGCCCCGTTCCGTCTGATTTCCAGGCGGTCCTGCCGTCGCCAGCTTTGAGTCCTTGCGCATCTCCTTGGGGGGGGGGGGGGGGGCAGAGGGCACACCCGCACCACCTCCCCGCCTGCCCCCCAGCCTCGCCCGGGCCTGCTCTCTGCATAGATGCAACAGGTCCCGGGCCTCGGCTCACTGGGATGGGCCCCAGGGATCCGGAGCCTCACCAGTGTCAGGGCGAGAAAAGCCCTAGGTGGGAGGCGGGGTCGCTCAGGGAGAAATGATGAGCGGCCACGAAGGGACAGCCCAGACCCTGGACCTAGCCCTGCCACCTCCTCCCTGGGTGGCCCTGGGGCAGCCTCTGACCCTGTCTGTGCACTGCAGGATGCAGCGCGAACCCTCGACAATGCCTCTGCCGGTAACTGGAAGGCGCCTGCCCCCCCACCCCCCACCCCTCGCCCCTGCAGGCTGCACGGGTCAACGGGCGGGGAATGCAGGTCGGAAACACCTCCGGCTTCAACTTTCCGGGGGCTGGCTGCCGTTTTTCAAAGGCGATCCTAAGCCCTGTCTGAACAGGGGGCACCGATGTCAAATTCCTGGTCGGTGGAGACCTGGAAAGCAATGCTGTCCTCTGCAGGT